CGGATGTCCTTAGGATAAGTTATATAATCGTGCAACAAATAAATATGTAATCAATGTTGTTATCTGACCCAAAAATGTGGCTGTTAATCCTGACATATGTTTTGGATGTAACGGAGGAAAAATGCTGTGGTGCTTTACATCAGCTTTTGGTGAGCAGTGTCCTGTGTTTGACTCATACTCATGTTATATTCTTTGTTGTTCAATACACATGTAAATGAAAACAAATGTGAAGCACATTACTGTAATTAAGGACTGGAGGAAACCCATTGATCCTTATTTGAAACTGCTGATAAATTTAGCTTTACATCATTGCTGGATTTCTTCAGATCAGATAGAAATAGAAGTGAGTCCAGCTATGTTTTTTCCCCTATGTCTTTGGGTTTTGCATTTCTGAAGAACACATGTAGTACATTTTTGTGATGTTGTTCACGGGAAGAAATCAGTGGGGAAGAGTATGGAAGCAGTGAGGGAGGAGACATGCTATACATTTTTCGGAACCTGAAAGCACGGAGTTGAAACCACATGCTTCTTATTTGCTCTTAGGTTTGCCGAAAAAGCAACCATCGAATGGCTGCAGCTCTTTGAAGGTAGTGGAGTTCCATATGGCCCAATCCACAATATGCAGCAGGTATTCTCGGATCCTCAGGTTGGTTCTCACCAAGTCTTTGCTATACATTGTTACATGTGTTTTACAAATGCTGAGTAATGATCACTTTTCCTGTTCACTCAGGCTTGATTTCAGCTTCTCAAATGGGATTTGGAAGTTATATGGTGGATTGAGTTATATGATGGATTGAGTTTAAGCCAATGATATGACATGATGAGAAATAAATACAGATCCTTCAATGAATTATATGCTTGGGAACACAGTTTTTGCCATAATGCATTAAACCATAGGTATTCCACATCTTGTACAGTCTGTCTTTCAAAAATGGCTGGTAAAACAGGGAAAGAAACTGTAATATGTTTTGTCATTGCGTTTTGTCAGATAATTATGCAGAAAAGCACCCTTCTTGCTGCCCACAAGCAACTGATTTTCTGTATGGAGTATGAATAACCAGAATCAATACCGTTTGAAATAGATGGGAAACTTTTTGGCTGGTAACAGAAAATGAAGCACAAAAGTCATATGCAGAAAGATTTTAATCTTTCCTTGACCTGATGGTTTACCTGGCTGAGGATGCTTCAGCTTTTTATTTATTCTTTTATTTTAAACTTTAAGTCTTTCACTGAATTTCATCTATACTTAATTATAAACAATATAGAATTCTATTATCTGTGTATTTTGTGATCCCTCCCCTTCTTTTCACCCTCTGACTTATGATGAGTTCAAGGGCCCAACAAACTGAATTATGCTGTCTTGAGTAGTGTAACAGAGTATTTTACAGCTATTCTGTTGTGTGATGAATCTCCTTTAATTTCTAATAATGAGAGTAACTAGAAAAAACGATTGACCATTGGAGGAAGAAAAAGCAGCCAATTTTGTATGTGTCCATGTCTATCATCAAGAAGTTTGTCAGGACTGTGAATACAATTGCAGTCTTTGGGAAAGAAAAACAAACAAGACGATCTTTATAATGAGGGAGTATATTTGTAATAAATGTTTGTTATAAATATGTTTATTATTCTTTTTAGAGGTATAAGACCATATTTGTTAAGCTACTGCAAGGAGAGAAGTTTTTTTCCCTTAAGTAAATACGCTCTTTCTCCTTAAAATGATGTACCGTGCTGTAAAGTATGCATGGGCCAAATTTTTCACTTCATAACTTTCACAGGAATTAAGGTTGGGCTTTGAAGAACATACAGCAAGAGTCTTTATTTTACTGAGAGCATGGTTGACTTGGCTGTACTTGGGACAACATTAGAAAAATATTCTTTGCTTTTTCTTGGTGCTGTGAATTTTAAGAAGTCAGGTCCACTCTGAAAGAGACAACTTTTTAAAACAGTATGTTGCAGGATGGCCATTACCCTCCCAAATTGAAAAGAGATTAGCTTGGTTACCTTGCTTTTGTTAGAATTCACCTTATTTTTCCATGTATTATAGTTATGTTATGTATATTATTTTTATATATATGTCAGGTTATTATCTGACATAGTTAGCCTACCCATTTTGCAGTATTGCAGTGCTTTGCAGTCAGATACCACCATATGGCAGGTTTTTCGAAATATTTTCCCATAAAGGGGCATACTGATCTCCTTTTTCTCCTTGTGCAAGTGCTTGAAAACGTCTTTTCTGCACCTTTCTGTTTAATAAGTGGCACTCAGACTCTGTGTTCTTATTACTACTGGAAATGAAGTGTCGGTATTTGTGGCGATGCTGTTGTACATTTATTGTTAGAGATGTTGGATGTTACACGTTGGTTTTGTTTCTGGTGCTGCCTGCCTCCTTAAGCGTTTTCTCACAGTTACTGTTCTGTTCAAGAGCAGGGGGAAAGGCTGCAGTTCTGTCCTCTTCTTTCTTGAAATATTGCAAAGTGTTGACGTTTTAAGGTACTGTTCTTATGGCGAGGTTTTACTTTATATCACTTACATAAAACTAAACCCCCACTCCACCTTTACATATCTGAGAGGCCATCCAGCAGACCAGCAATTTGGAGAGTAGCATGCTCAGCCTCTGAAGTATGTTTTTCTAGTTTCTATACAAATTTTTATTTTGATGGTGAAGGCTTCAGAGTTTCACAGGTGGCTTCGTTGCCCTGAGTCACTTACCCGTAGCTTGGATTTAAGGGCTTCGGGACACTTTAAGCAAAGCTTTCCAATTTCACGTTTCTTCTGAACTGTAGTTTTTGCCACTGTACCTTACTCAGTCTCCCTCCACTTGCTCATCCTTCTGCTGCTGTATAGACAGCATGTGTCTGGGATAAACACAGATGCTTGTGTATAGGTTTGCTCTTTCGTAAGCCAGTCTGCAGTTTTGGTTTCTGAAACCTCAAAAAGCATGACAGTGCCCTGAGACTATGCCCAAGACTGAGGAAGAAGTCTAGCAACACCTGAGAATCTGTAATCTAGATATCCTCTGCACTGTGAAATCCTGGACATAGCAAGGAAATCCAGCGCCCACTGCCACCAACATGCTGTAGTCACAGCAAGATTTTTCTCATGTGTAAAGCTCAACCCAGTCATTAAGTAGGAGAACTTTGTAATCATTCTTCACAGTGATCCCATTATAATATGGTGGAGTTTTTTTCAGGCTCAGTTTATATCAGAAAATGCATTTCTAGGAAAGATGTCACTCAGCTTGCATTTAGTAACCTTGCTTACTAATGCTGTATAACAAGTACAGTGTAATGGAAAATAAAAGAGTTTATCATAATGCAGTAGTCTGCTTTTCATAGTCATTTGATTTCAGCCATTGCAAAGACTCCAGAAAAACATCAAACCTGGTGATACTTCAATACGTACAAACTCTAATCTACCTCAAATAGATAATACTTAGATTTTACTAACCTCTTCCATTTTGGGTGTTATCAGCAGAATTGGATTGAAACACAATTCTGTTTTTAAACTTCATTTTATTGCTGTTGTTCTCCTATTTGGTCTATGGATTTTGAGATCCGTAATGGAACCACCGTTCATTGTAAGTGCAGTCGTGCACCGTTACTGACCAGGATATACTGCATGGATGTCAGCAACCGCCAAAGCATTTGCCAGCTCAGCTGTCAGTAATGCTGCACAGGGCTGGTACCAGCCAAAAACCGAAATCCTGGGAGAGGGCTGGAATAGTGCGAGGGAGGAATGGAAACGAGTCTGAGGAGATAGGAAAGATAAGTAAAAGGAGATAACTGAAATGGTCTAATGGAACTTAATCAGCTTCAGGTGGGTCATGTTTTCAAATTTTAACTAAAAGGAACTCAGAACGCTGAAGACCAAGAGTGATTTGTATAACTATTTCTATAATCTCAGATAAAACAACACATTTTTGATTCCAGTATGTTTTGTTAATATCATTAACAGCTTCAATCATACTTTAAGTGAGCTGCCAAAAACCATGAAGTCTTCTACTAAGTTGGAGTGCCAGGATTTTTTCCATGAATGGAGTGAAACGTCCACTTTTCCCACCGATTATAATCTTTTATTCATTTGTGAAATTAAAATGAATACCACAGCCATTCGTACTGCTAAGTCAATCAGTCTGTGGATGGAAGTATTTGTGTACTTGTGGATATATGGCTAAAAATCTGAGAGAAAGAGGAGCAGTTTCACTAGTTAAGGGAACAAATTTCTTAAAAATGAGAGGGAGGAGAGAATGTTTGTAAAAGTGCATACAAACTCTTAGTAGTACAGTATATACTATTTTAATGAAGCTTTTTATAGTCCAGATTTTTTAAGCTATTTTTTGAAAATGTGTTCTTTTAACCAGGCCAAGATAGTACAAACATTAAAGGAATTCTTAAAACGTTTTAAAAACTTACTAGTGACCTCAGTATGGTCCCATTTAACATACCCTGGGGAACATGTGTATGAAATACAATGTGGTTTGAGGTTTTCCAAACAAAACAAACTTAAAAGAGAATACCATTTTTAATAGAAATGATTCAAATTCTCCCAAAAGATAGAACAGAACAAAAACAGGTACGCACTGTACTACAGCTAAGTATGAAAGAACAAAGATCTTTGCTGGTAAAGTGAGGGGACTGAAAGGTGGTTTTTTTTTGTTTTCTTTATAACATTACCCTCTCCTTTTTCACAATGTAATTCCTTGCACTGTTCTTACACAGTGTTATTACTTTAATTATAGAAGGCTGGTGTATATAAGAAGCAACAAAACAACCCAGAAATATTGTGGGCAGTTTAATAAATTGTTTATCTGATTCTTTACCAGATTAAATCCTTTCACATTGATAAATTTTTACTGTATGAATGCTGCCAGCTGACAACAAAAATGAAAGCCATGCAGTGGTGCTTTCCTGCTCTGCCCCCCCACCCCCCCAAAGCAGTTACAGTCATACCACACAAGTTGAGTACATCAGGTGTAAGACATCACCCTGATGCATCACTTCTGAGAAATATGGGGAGGGAAATATCGGAGCTGAAATATCACAGCTGGCCCTGATTTCAGCTCCTGCCAAACACCTGCAGACTCTAAAAGGATACCAAAACAAAACCCCACCCTGTGGCAAGAGGCCATCCCTTAACAACCCTTCCCTGACTTTGCATCACTATAAAAATTAATTTAACATTTTTTACAGAAACCTTAGTCTTCCTGTCCCAGAAGGCCATTACAGTTCCTTTAGCCATTTCTCTGAATGTGCCTGAGAAAAAACCCACAGTAAATTGGAGTATTGAAATATCCAATAGCTGGACATTATCTGTTGTTTTAAGTTTATTATTTGTGGAAACTTATGAAGGTGGTAGTTTTTTTATTAACCTCCAGATCATCTCTTATTTTGGAAGCAGTTTCATTTGAACACATCCTGGCAAAAATTTCCCAGCATCTGGTAAAAGCTTCTACAATCAGTGTTGTGAACACACAGAACAGCAAAGATATAAAATGTGTTGTGTGGGGTTTTTTTTTGTTTTGGTGTTTTTTTTTTTATTTTTTTTTTTTAAATCATCTTATGCATGGTTGTTTTTGGTTTTGTGTGTGTGTGTGTTTTTTTTTTTTAATATGGTCATGTTTTAATTGTTGTTCTTTGTTGAAATAGA